AAAAAAAAAAAAAAAAAAAAAAAAAAAAAAAAAAAAAAAAAGAAAAAAAAAAGAAAAAAAAAAGAAAAAAAAAAGAAGGTAATAACAAATGAAACAAAGAGTCTTAGACTGTATTGTGGTGGGCTCCAATAAAGTGATGCTTCAAATCTCTGAGTAATGACTGCTAGCATGAATATGCCATTGTGCCGGAGGGAGAAAAATGCTTTTGATGTGCTACCAAATGGAGACTTTTGTAAACAAGTGGAGCACAACTTAAATGTGTTCATCATTGTCAAAGCTTTTGGGGATTTTTTTTTTTTTTTGCCTTTTTTTTTTTTTTCACGCGCATAAAGAACATCCCAGCGCGGTTTGCAGGAAGCCGCTCATTTCAAATAAAAATATTGTGAATCGACAGATACTAAAACACACAAAATATACGGTTTATTAAAAAAAAAAAAAAAGAAAAAAGAAAAAAGAAAAATCATTCCATTTTGTAACTACTTAATTCTCCGAGTGGCCAGGAAAGGCCGCAGATCAATAAAGTGTTTGTGAAAGACTGAAAGGAAACATAAACCCCGATTCTTCTGGCTGTTTGGCGTCTTTGTAAACTTTGAGCCGGGCAGGCCATCCACAAGACCATGGGAATGTAGAGCGAATTGGGTCCTTTGTTAGCGGGGGTGCCATGGCGTTCCCTGTATCACAGCCCAGGAATGCGGCCTCCGCTTTGACTGCCGATAGAGAAAATGCATTCGGCCTCCAGCAGAGCCGCCAAAGCTGGCGAGAAAAGATAAGGAAAGTAATAATTGCCCTCGGAGAATATATTCAACCGGAGCTCTTCAGGAGCTGGGATAGATGCCGGCAAGGATCGACAAATGAAATAAACTGTCATGACAAGGGGGGAGGAAAAAAAGTAGAAAGAAGTAGGGGTAGGGGGAAGCTCCGCTTCATCCACGGTTTTGGATTTTGGGGCCATCCTGCAAACTTCTACCTCCCACCAGGAGCTGTCATTCTCTGAATGGAAGGATGCCTTCCACTCCCCAACCGGCAGCCCCGGTGGGCGTTAATAAGGCTCAGGATACCGCTGCCACGTCAAGAGGGGGGGCACAACGCGCCCACCCCAGAAACAAAGCTTCGGCGCAACTTTTTGGTCATGTGTCATCCCCCCGCCAAAAAAGATTTTCCATTATGGGGAGAGAGGAGCTGATTATAAATATCCACTATTTTGTCCCAGCTCTGGTGCAAAATAATTTATCTTTATCAGCCACGGTGAGGTGGCTCAGGTCTGTTCCACACCAAAAAAAAAAAAGTCTGGGTGAGTGAAAATTGTCCCCTGGGCATTAATTGCAAACACACAGCATGACAAAGACTGTCTCTCCTCCTTGGGATGGGGAGATGAGGAGCTGATTATAAATATCCACTATTTTGTCCCAGCTCTGGTGCAAAATAATTTATCTTTATCAGCCACGGTGAGGTGGCTCAGGTCTGTTCCACACCAAAAAAAAAAAAGTCTGGGTGAGTGAAAATTGTCCCCTGGGCATTAATTGCAAACACACAGCATGACAAAGACTGTCTCTCCTCCTTGGGATGGGGAGAGAGAAGCAGATTTGGGGGGGGGGAACACCACCACAACCCACGGCATATAGCTCCATCCCTTAAAGAGCCTTTTCCTCCTGCATACATTTGTCCTTGCTACTGGCATTGAGACAATCCTTGGCGACAAAGCACCTCGCTCTCATGAAGGAAAGCGATTCTTTCGCATTGTGCCACCAATAATCAGAAACCCACATCTTCAGCCCCACTGTCTGACTTGAAGAACAAAAGGCAGTTTTCAGTCTTAACCCCCGAGATCTGATTTAAAAGGGGAGGGAAGGAGGGGGAAGACCTTGACCATTCATTAACAACAATCTTTTTTTTTTTTTTTTTCCTAAAGGGGAAAAAATTCTTTGCACACAAAGTAGTACTCCAGATACGTGTATGGAGCCTGAATTTGACATCTTTAAGCAGAGTCAACCTTTGCAGGGAGAGGAAAAAAAAAAATTAAAAAAAAAAAAAATCATGAAAAGGCACTGGAGATTAACACTGATGGTTCAGGAAAGCTCTAACCCCTCCCAATAGCTTGTTTGAAACACAGTATACCCCGTCTAATTGGAGTACAACTGTGGCAGGAATAGAGGGCGAAATAATTTAAAGACAGTTAAATGGGAGAAAAAGAGTACAATTTGATCTTTATTTCATACACCGCAACTTTAAATGGTACTTTGCAGAAGTTAAGGAAGGATAAAGTCTTCTTCTCTCCAAAAAACCCTACAAACTTTACATCCCAGCCTGGAAAAGCTTTACGCAAGTGACTCACCTACAGACCCACTAACACATGGGCGTGCATATTCTATACGTACACACGCCCAAACTCATCTATACTTGCAGCATTTATTGCGAGTTCTCCCATTTAACCATTTTTAAATTATTTCACTAGGTTCAAAATCTGGTTTTGACACGTAACAAATCATTATCTTAACTTAATATTTTATCCTAACTTAGTATTTAAACCCGTGATGCAAAACAGCATTGAATACATGCAGGTGGGTTTGTTGTTGTTGTTGCGGGGTGGGGTTTGGTTGTGTTTTTTTTTTTTAATTTCTTTAAACCTTTACATACAAATGTAGGACATTTGTGACGCACGCCCTGCCCCAAACACCAGATCGATTTAATTTGATTTGCCTCAAGTGGCAAATCGAGATGGAAAACAAAATCTGCAGCATAACCAGCACCTGTTCAGTGATTAAACTGTCTAAAGAAAACAGAGATTAAGTTTTCAGTCTCCATATTCCACTGCAAGAATCAACCCAGAGCGCACGAACCAAGCAAATACTGCCAATAAATGTAACGAAGCTTAATACCATTACTTAAGTAATGAGCGGGCAAGAAGCCCCTTGGGGAGGAAACGCTGCGAGGTGAAAGCTTTGCTTCCAACCTGGAATCGCATTTATTTATTTTTGTCTTGATTAATAATCTTAATTATTGTATGCGGTCCCTGATCGGCCTCCTGTGATAGGGCTCGCCGGCTTCCCCCGAGGGTCGTTTTTAGCTGCATACCACCTACAGCAATTAGCCGCTTGTGCTTTTGTCTGTTTTCTGGCATTATGCCCTTCCCTTTCATGGGATTCCTCTTTTCTACTTGGACTAGATGTTTGCAAGTCTCCTGGCTTTGAGCTATTTCAGCAACAATTGTAGCTGAAATACTTAATATTCTCATGAGAAAGGCGGCTGGGAGGAATGGGGGGGCGGGGAGGGGTGTCAGCCTCCCAGAGAATGACTTGGAAACCCAATTCAGTGTCACATTTAACTCCCTATATGGAATACCCAGGAAAAAAAAAAAAAAAAAAAGCCACCTGAAAATAACACCCTGCACACATCCAGTTGGCACCGACAGCGAAGTGAAAAGCCAGTGCACAAAACAGGGGAAAACATCATTCTAAGATTTAAATCTAGCCTGAAATGCCAATTAGCAGCAATTTCCCTTTTTTTTTTTTTTTTTTTTTTATCGCGCATCTTAATGAAAGGGAAATCTTTTCTTTCTAAGAGTCTTTTTTTCTTTCCATCAGTGGGATGGGAAGATCGCCGCAGCCTTGTCAGTAGCGTCAGATACTTTACATGTGCACTTCATCACACATTAACCGGAGTGAAACGACTGCTCCCAAAGGATGCTCGGTCACAGATAAATCACGCTCCTGGAAAAGGAGCCCAAATGAAAACCTTTAACATTATCTATCGCCTGTGCCCCCAAAACATGATGCATCGTCAGCTCTGGTGAGCCTTGACCCAAGGTAGAATTTAACATTTCAGTCTAAATTTCCTGTATCGAATAATACCATTTACAAGCGCAGAAGAGAAAGGACGAACGGGAGGAAGGGGATGGCAAACGCGCTCGCACAGCGTCACGTAGGACCTATCGACGTTGCAAAAGGACGGTGGCCGAGCGCCAAATGAGCTGTTTAAAAACAGATTCAGGCACATGTCCCATTCAATTTTTTTTTTTTTTTTTTTAAATGTAAAATACAGGCCTACAGCTTTTCCCAAAGCTCGCTGCGGCTGGCTGGGAGACTCCCAGAGAGCTGAGCAAGAAAACTGGCTTCGGGAAGGACGGCTGTAGGGTGACAACGGGGTATAAGGACTAGTATGGAAAAAACAGCTCGCCCACACGCTTGCTCCAGCAAGAAGAGACGCTCCGAGCAGACGGCAGCTCCGTCCTCCTAAAGCTGGCTGCAGCAGAGGTCACTGGCACAAGGAAAGCCTCATTTTTTTAGAAATTAATGTGAACTGTAAAAGGAGTGCTGTATATAGAGGTGTGGAAGGAAAACCACCCATCAGACAGCTAAAAAACCTGCCATAGCTCAGCACAGCCACTCACAAAAGCCATTTAGGTGTATGACTAAATATCAGAGTATACTCACATGCAGTTTTAACCCGTATTGCCTTACCCATAAAGATATTCCACTCGGCGTCCAAGTCCCCCTGGTTGGCCAAGCAGCCTCTCATGACGTTAAAGCAGTAGTTGTAGCAGGGCTTCACCGACACCAGCCCCCGGCAGTACGGGCAGTACATCATTTTCAGCAGCGCTCGCGTACCCTGCGGCGTGGGGTTCACCTTTAAAAAGGGAAAAGGAGAAGAAAATTAGCCCTCGGTCACTAAAGCAAAAAAAAAAAACCAACCCAAACCCCCACATATTTACCCCGGGGATGGGTGGGAACAGAGCCGTGCAGAGGAGATGCAATGTGGTCAGCCACTGCCAGCCGGTCACAGCTCCCCGCTTTCATGGTCCAGGGATGCGGGATGCAGATGAAGGGGTCTGGCTCACCTCCTTGGCTCTACCTGCTACTCCAGAGGGCACGGCCGGTGTGTCCCCCCCACTGCTCTGCAAAACATCCCCTGCACCGCAGTACACCCTGTGTATGGTGGGACCCCTCCCCGGGCTCCGGGGCCAGGCACCCCGAGGGATGCGCAGCACTCGAGCTCAGGGAAGGCGGTAAGGAGTGACCGAGCCGAACGGCGTACCGCGGGGCTGCGCTATCCAAGCCCCGCTGAAGACGGCGACGATGCTGGAATTTCTCGGGAAAAAGCAGCTGAGGCGGGATGCTTAGAATCATAGAGTTGTCTGGGTTGGAAGAGACCCTTGGGATCATCGAGTCCAACCATCTACCCTACTCTACAAAGTTCTCCCCTACACCATATCCCCCAACACCACATCTAAACGGCTCTTAAACACATCCAGGGATGGGGACTCAACCACCTCCCTGGGCAGCCTATTCCAGTGCCCGACCACTCTTTCTGTGAAAAATTCTTTCCTAATGTTCAGTCTAAATCTCCCCTGTTGGAGCTTGAAGCCATTCCCTCTTGTTCTGTGATTAATTCCCTGTGAGAAGAGACCAGCACCAACCTCTCTACAATGCCCTTTCAAATAGTTGTAGAGAGTGATGAGGTCTCCCCTCAGCCTCCTCCTCCTCAAACTAAACAGTCCCAGCTCCTTCAACCGCTCATGCTTGACGCTATCACCGCACCAAACCTGCTGGGAACATGCCCTCCTCCTCTGCGGCACTGCGGCTCGGCTCTTCCCAGACAATCACCCAGCGGGGCTCTCTCCGGCAGAGACACCGGCTCCTTTCTCTTACATTCAATTCCTGCAACGCAGCATTTCCATGACAGACACCCAGGTTCATTGACACTCAGCACTCATCACGCTGAAGACCGCCGTTGCCCACACCCGAAGGAGGTGGCAGCTACAGCCACGCGGCCGAGGACAAGCCAGGAAGACCCTCAAAGCCACCGTGCAACCTCTGGGCGTGCAAGCGGCGCTATCGGCAACAGGCACGTCACCCCCCAAGCCCTCGACAGGGCTATTTTCCAAAGTGACTCATGGTCATTCATGTTTGATTCACTCTCTGGCCCGGCTTCAAACGTTCATTGAAACCATTTCCACCCAGCTGGTCCAAGGAGTATTCGCTCCAGCACCACGTACTAGCGCTGACCACGTGGTGGGTCCATCTAAAGCACTAAGCAGAGAAGCTCCCTCAAGAGCAAACTTAAGCGTTAATTAGCCACAGGCGAAAAGGGAAAATTAAGATGTGATCTGAAATATGCTGACAATGGAAAATTAAGATGTGATCTGAGATATGGGCTTGAGACTTCTTGTCCGGCGTTTATGGAGAGGGCTCTAAATAGGTTATGACCCACGACTGTGCAGAGGGAGGCGAGACACACGCAGCCCCGAGGAAGAGAGAAGCCATTCAATGCAAACGGCTAGAGATGTGCACGGCCTCCGCATCCCATGTGCCAGAGGTCTGGAAACCCACTTCATGGCAGAGAAGATGACAGGACCGAACGGAGGTGAACGTATGCGAGGACAACCTGGTACCACACGTACACTGAGGACCTTCCTATGACGAAGCCCATCTCAGCACGAGGGCTAAGGAGAAACTGTCCATGATCTTCTGGCGCAAAAACTAGTTGGCAGCACAGGAAAGTAGGAGTGAAGAGATTTTAACAAAAACAAACCAGAAAACAAAAAACCTCTGTACATAATCAGGCTGGCCCTGCTAATAACAGCGGCAGATTTTTAAACCCTCTTTTCTTATGAAAAGAGATGAGAGAGAAAAATCCACCGCATTTCTGACAACTCCAGAAAGACCATGGTTTCTCTTCAGTAGGCGAGAAAACTGCGTTAGAAAGACAGAAGGATGATTTTCTGCAGCTGACGGAGCTCACTGCTGGATTTTGGCTGGCCAGCAACGTTCATTCAGACACCGCTTTACCCCTCTTTTGTCTGCGAGGAGCCTGTTTGGCTGAGCAAAAGGAGACTTGATGTAGAAAGCTGTTTGCGGTGGTGGGGGAATCCGATTCAGACGCTTCAGAGCATATATGCACATATATATATATATATTTGGAAGGCACAGCGGGAGCAGGAGCCCCAGCAGAAAGCTCCCTATCAGGGCAGCCTGGCTTTAAAGCAGAGCTAGTTCAAACGCTGGGAAGAGCTCAGGCAACAGAAACCAGCTAAATCGCATGATTTATAGTAGGAAAACCGAAAACAGACAAATGTGAAGGTATCATCTGCCATCCAGATGGTGCAGTCCTTGCATAACCAGAGAGTTGTGGGGGGATAGAATAGGGAACCAGACAACATCTCACACCCAGAGACAGAGCTCTGAAGGATGCCCCACTTAAGGCGTTTAGTCCTTTCCCTGATAAGAATCTCCTCCCGTGACACTCGGTGGTCGGTGCCATCACCTCCACACCCAGTCCACACCAGTTCTCAGCAGATCCCGGCCGTCCCAGCACTGATGGTCCTCAAAGAAGTGCTTTGCATCCTCCTTGAGAGGAAAATTCGGAAAAGGTTGATAGCCCTGGCCAGGCGCTAGGGCAGTTTGAAGTGGGATGAGGAGCGGGAAACTTCCCCGACCCCATCGCGGGAAGTCGCAGCTTTATGAAATCCCCCGCACAGCAGTGACCCGGGAGGCACTTTCCCATCTTAGATTCCCGGCTGCAATCCCGCAGCGTCCGCCCCTCTTTGATATTTCATAGGGGTGGCTGATCGTTATGAATCCCGGCAGATGCCGGGGAAACTGAAGCCGCTTTCCCGCGTTCCACGGCGGACGACCCGGGACGGTCGCTTGGATTAAGTCCTTTGAACAAAGACGCGGGATGATTTTAAAAGCCAGCGGGGTTTTGTTTCCTTCCCTAGGTAGGTTTGCAGCTCTGAGCCCTCCACGGAGCTGAGCAAAGGGGGCGATGAGACGACAAACCCCCACCCGCAGCGACTGCCAAACCGAGCCCCAACTAGCCACGGGGGCTGCAGGTGAAGAGGAAGACAAAGGGGGAAATTCCTCAGTCCAGACCTGGCATTTTACGGTGTCAGAAAGCCACAGGAAGGCACGAGTGGAGATCAGCTGAGAGAGAGGGTTTCGGGGAAGACGACGAGCGATCACGCCTCGTTTACAACAGCGATAAATGCTTCACCGCCGCATATCGCCGCAAACGGGAACCTCAGCCCTTGGCAAGGGGCCTGTCGCCGGTCCAGAGCGATTCTGGATCCGTCCGTGGGCTGTGCCATATGTCGCACTGGCAGTTCTTCACAGGCTTTTAAGGTTCGCGCTGCCACGCCAGGTGCAAGCTCTTAAACCACCATTGTATGTAACAGTAAACCCAGATATGCTTTGTTCTGGGGTTGTGTTTATCTTGGAAAGCAACTCAAGTTCATTCAAACTCTACTCTAGAATGACCCTCAAAACCAAATAATCTCCTTTCCAATAACGCAGAGTCCCAAAGAAAGCTTTATTTGCTGAAGAGGATTTACTCTCGTCGATTTGAGCCCAGGTAGTAGTACGCTGTAGTGCACGTACCCTGTAAAAACTTATAATAGAAGTAAATGCACTCCAACCCCTTCTCCTTTTATCTTCTGAAATTTATTTCCTTTCCGTGACGTTCCACGCCACTGCAGCAATCCATCACCCTGCGGTTTCATCATGTAAATTACAATTTGTCCATGTCTATACGCTTTGTCAAACCTGAAGATTAAAAGCTGCTAACAGATGTGTTTTGGCACCAATCTTCACATTCGTATCGAACCCGCTCCTTAAAAACACAAGATTTGCACACAAGCCACAAAAATTAAGTGAAAAGCAAACAATTCTGGGCTTAATTCAAACGTTTTCATATCATATTTGTTGAGATACCCCCCCAACTTTCACTGACCGGTGAAGGTACAATCATGTTCTTGCAAAACAACATGCTCTTGTTCGAAAATAAATCTGGTTTTTGTTGGTACCTTGTCATATCCATCCCATTTCAGGGTCTGACATAAGGGAAACAGTTTGCCCTATATCCTTAGATTTTTCCAACTCGTTGGCAATTGCATCCGGACGCGTCTGCCTGGTAGAAACTTCACCATTCAAGCACACACCTACCAAGTGAAATGCCTCGTTAACAGCCCACCACAAAGGCACCAAAACTCTGGAAAAACCAATCTGCGCAAGCAGATGCAGTTCAGAGAAGCAACCGGTTTCTTTTTCCCCTCCTTCTTGAGGCAAGGAATTAGCTGAGCAACGATGAGAGAGCTCCAGCCATGAACGGTCCTGCAGGGAGCTCCCACCAGCCACCAGACAGCCAGAGCCACATTTTATTCTCTCACTCTACCCTCAAGTTAACATTAAGAATGTTAATAACAACATTTTAAATCCTGTCAGCTTTAATAACTATTTATAACAACACTGATAACTCAGGCTTTCTTATTTTCCAAGCTTGCACAACAGCAGCGTTGCCATGCCAGCAGCACAGCCACCAGAAAACATAAAAATCCAACAATTTGGAAATAAATGCAGTGAAATTACTTTTGATTTATACTGTGTTTTCTTTAAAAAAAAAAAAAAAACACAAAACACTATCTAACCCTGAATTAGGGCAATACTGGATAAGGAAGACTGAAGGAGTAACTTCTCAGTGGCACGGAAAGATGATTTCCTGACTTCAAAAAACAAACTCCAAAGCTAACTGAAGGACTGTGGGATGCTCCAGGTGAGCAGCCAATTTGGAAAAGTGAAGTGCCATCGATTTTTTGGGACCAACACCACCTTGCTTGCATCATTTTTTCCTTC